ACTGCAGTTGAATTATCCTTTTAATTTTATTTCTGGAGAGTGCAAATACGTCCCGGGAGGTACGTATTTGTGCAGTTTTTGTTTTCGCGAATCCGCCAGAGGTCACTGTGCGCGTTTTCGCGTCTCGAACGCCTCTCGAGAGCGTGCGTCATTCGCACCCGCGCTGTTCTCCCATGAAAAGCCACCAGAGGCCGCTGTCGATCGACTGTCTGTCCGACTGACAGACTGAATGACTGAACGATCGACTAGGCGGCCGGCCAATCAGACAATCGGCCAACCAAGCCACCCTCCTCCTTCCCTAAACCTAAGCAACGATTTACAAAAGCCGTCCAGAAAAGAAAAGCAAAAGCCCTCGTCTGATTTTGACCGCGTTTTCGGATTTCACCGCATTCTCGTCCCGTCACAAACTCGTTCGCTTTTATTTTTTGGGTTCTGTTTTTCATCTTACCTGATTTCTGGAACCGATCTTCCCTGGACTCGAACCCGCTCGTCGCCGTGGCCAGCTCCTCCTCCTCCTGGCCTCTGCTCCGCCGACGTAACACTAGCAGCTAAGCGGACAAACTGGTTTGCGGCAGGAAAGTGCAGAGAAGAGAAGCGGCGTCACACCACCCTGTAGCGTTCGCTCGAAAAAACAAAATGCGGCCATACGTACCTCTGGCCACGTAAATCGTGGTCTCCAGAAATGTCTGTGGTGCTTCGTTTTCAGAATGAGCTTGGGTTGGCTTTTTGAGATCTCAAGTTTTTCTCGCGAGTGCCGTTCACGCCTGTTGTTCACACATAAATCTACCAGAGGTCCCTGTCAACTGACTGACTGACTGACTGACTGACCGATTCCTCATGTAATTTTTACCATGTTTTCAGGTTTTACCATAGTCTCACCCTGTCTTTTACTTGTTTATTTTATTTTTTTGGATTCTGTTTTTGTCTTACCTGCTTTCTTTAACTTTTCTTAACTGGACTATAGAGTGGGTGGGAATGGGGTGCTTATAGCCAGGGAAGTGCAGATTGGGGAATGGTGATTAGGTGTATATGAACTCAGAACTAAAGTGATTGGGATCAAGGATAAGCAGGAGAGCTTGGTGTACATGTAACAGCAGCTTCTCGTAGTGATGTTATTCAGAATAAAGCTGCAGTCACACTGCACTTTACTTCCCATAGACTTCCATTCATATGCACGTAAATGCGTCAAACTGGAAACGCAAGGTCTTGCGTCAAGTTTTGCAGTTCGCTGTGTTACAAAGTTTAAACATGGTGAACTCTGACCTGTGAAATCGCATCACTTGAGTGCGTGAGACCAATCGAGGATCAAAACATGACCTCTGTGTACAGAAATTTTAAATATGAAGCAATCGCTCGCTTTTTTAAATGTCTAATAATCTGACTTAATCCTGCATCTTTTCGCAGCGCTGTTCAACAGAATTTCACATGCTCAAACTCTAGTGCGACTGCAGCTTTATTCTTGAATATTATGTGCTTGTTTGTAGATCTACAACATGTTCCCTTGGCTTCGTCCCATTGTGGCGAATCGGAATCAAATTGTGAAGAATCTCAGAGATACCTTTAAACAAAATGAGGAATTAATAAATGGTGTAATGAAGACTTTGGACCCTTTTAACCCCAGAGGAATTGTTGACAGTTTCCTCATACGACAGCAGAAGGATGAGGTACTGTTTCATCATTTTTATTAATTACTGTGCACAAATAATCACACTGTTTTTGCACATTTATTGTTCTGATGTCATCGTGTTTTGGCTATCACCATGCAGGAATCTGGCAAAACAGACTCACTGTACAATTCAAACAATTTATATTGTACTGTTAACAACCTGTTCGGGGCTGGTACCGATACTACAGTCACAACATTACGTTGGGGTCTTCTGCTAATGGCCAAATACCCTGAAATACAAGGTATTTTTGCATTTACACAGCAAAGATGTAGTCTTCAGTTGTAATTTTAAAAAGTTGCCACAAAACTGCCAAAAAAAATGACAAGACACATTGAATTAAACTATTGCACATTCGTAATGCTTTGTTATGTTGTAAAAATTACTATATACAACTTTTTGATTAAATAGTGTATGGTAAGTTTTTTATATGTGATAATTCTAATATGCAAGTATAATACAAAGTGTCAAAAATAAATGGGGAATTTAATAATGTGGTTCTTCTGAATATAAGCCAAGGTTCAAGATGAGATTGAACGAGTGATCGGTGGACGTCAGCCAGTTGTAGAGGACAGGAAAAACTTACCATATACAGATGCTGTGATCCATGAAATTCAAAGATTTGCAGACATTTCACCCATCGGTGCCCCCCGTCAGACCACATGCGATGTTCATCTGAACGGATATTTCATCAAAAAGGTCTGTATACAATAGGAACTTAAGGTGTTAATTAATATGTTTAGGTCAACTTTGTGTTCTCCAGAGGGAAATTTATTTCACATAAGGCAGTAAGAAGCCAATAACAATATCTACCGATGAGGCTGTGATCATTTACACAGTGCATACGGAAAGTTTTCATAGCGCTTCACTTTTCCACATTTGTTTATGTTACAGCCTTATTCCAAAATGAATTTAATTCATTTATTTCCTCAAAATTACACACAATACCGCATAATGACAATGTGACAAAAGAGTTTTTGAAATTGTTAAAAACTTTTATAAAAATAAAAAACCTGAAAAATCACATGTACATCAGTATTCACAGCCTTTGCTCAATACTTTTTTGATGCACCTTTGGCAGCAATTACAGCCTTAAGTCTTTTTGAATATGATGCCACAAGCTTGTCACACAAACTTCTACCTTATTAACTAATAATAAATAGCTAATTAGTAATTAATTGAGCTAAAGTCGCAGTTAATGGTTTGTTAATAGCGTGAATTGGACAATAAATGAAGAGTGACCATAATAAAAGTGATGTCCACATTTTGTTGTGTTTGCACTATTTATAACTGATGCATCTGATGTTTTGTGCAGGGCACCCCTGTGTTCCCACTACTGGTCTCTGTGTTGAGGGATGAAAATGAGTGGGAAACGCCTGACAGCTTTAACCCAAAACACTTTCTAAATAAACAGGGACAGTTTGTGAAAAAGGACGCCTTCATGCCCTTCGGTGCAGGTAGAGGAAACTTTGAATTCATTAATTATATTTATCCCATCACAGGTGCTTTTTTTCAGTCTTCTGTTTATGATTTCTCTCAGGACGCAGGGTTTGCATTGGAGAGAGTTTGGCCAGGATGGAGCTCTTCCTCTTCTTCACGTCTCTCCTTCAGTATTTCCGCTTCACTCCTCCTCCTGGAGTGTCTGAAGATGATCTAGATCTCACACCAGTAGTGGGCTTCACACTGAATCCGAAGCCACACCAACTGTGTGCAGTGAAACGGTCTTAGAAACATCATACATGCTGTTAAAATATTATCTCTCATTGTATTAACACTATTTTTTGCTTGTATATTTACCAGCTTTCCATTTGAAGCAGATTCATTGTTTATCGCTTTTTTTTTTATATAAATAACACTAGCAGACCTCGCTGTTCTTCAGTGTAAGAGCATGCTAAGTATGTAAATACATTTAGCACAGAAAAATAAATCAAAGACAGTTAGTAAAACCTAAAACTGAAGTGCAATTGTGATTTTTGTTCTTCTTTTTTTTCCTGAAAGCTCTAATAGTGCTGTTGTTGCCTCATTGTACTGAGCTAAGTACATTTGACTGTGTCCCTGTTCCTATTCTGACCTTTGCACTTTCTATTATTTGACTGTTTCTGCCACTTTATCCTCCAAGATTTGCAATTAATATGTCTTTCTATGCTATTTTAGTATTTTTAGCTATAAATCAGAGATAAATGTTTGATATGAGTACATGAGCAATTTGTTTATTTGTGTTATCACAGGCTGAACTCTCTGCAGGATGTATGATTAAAGGCGGTTGCAGCTCATTCTGAAAGTGTGTGTTGCATGACTGTATTAACTATTAAACTGCATTTAAATGTATAGATGCACAACCCCAATCAGAAAAGGTTGGGGCAGTATGGAAAAAAGAAAAAAAGTTGTGATTTCCAAATTTTACTTTGACTTGCATTTCATTGCTGACAATATGAACATAAAATATTCGATGTTTGGTCTGGTCAACTTCATTTCATTTGTAAATCTGCATCCCTTCCTGTCATTCAGACCTGGAACACATTCCAAAAATAAAGTTGAGACAGGAGCAGTTTAGGGCTAGTAATCAGTAAATTAGTTCACTAATGATGGGATTTTAGTCAGGTGGTGTCAACAGGTGACTGTAATTATGATTTAGGATAAAAGTAGCGACCAAGAAAGGTCTGGTCCATTAGGAGCAAAGATTAGTGAGGATCAGTTTGCCAACAAATACATGAAAAAATTATAGAATTATTGAAATTACTTTTGTTCCTCAAAGAGTGCATAACATAGTTAAAATATTCAAGGAATCTGGAGGAATTTATTGCTTATAGGACAAGGGCATGAGCTTACGCTCAACTACCGTGGATCCCTTCAGGCGGCACTACATCAAGAATCCTCATTCATTTAAAAGTGATATCAACACATGGTTTCCAGACTACTTTAATAAACCTTAGACAAGTACCACAATACAGAGTTACATCCACAAATGGCAGTGTAATCTGTACTGTGCCAAAAGGAAGCCCTATGTTAAAAGTGTCCAGAAGCACTGTAGACTTCTCTGAGCTCCGATGCATCAAAGATGGACCATCACACAGTGTAAACGTCAGTGTTGGGTGAAACGTAATATATTGCAATTTTCTACCTTACCTCTTTAAAAAAAATGCAATTACAAAAAAATAAGATAGCACATATATTCACATTGCTTCCTTAAAAAGTAACACATTTATTTACATTTCTTTTTTTAAGTGACTACAGATCGTAATATGTTACTCTTTTTCCCAACACTGGTAAATGTGTACTGTGGTCAGATGAATCTGTATTTCCAGTATTGTTTGAGAGAAGAAAAGGATCATCCAGACTGTTGCCAGCAACATGTCCAAAAGCCAGGGTCTGTCGTGGTATAGGGTTGTGTCAGTGCTCTTGTTAATGATAACTTGCACTTCTGTGATGGCACCATTAATGCTTAAAAGTACAATGAGATGTTGGAGAACAATATGCTGCCTTATTTTCCATTTCAACAAGACAATGCAAAACCACATTCTGCACACATTACAAAGTCCTGGCTGCGGAGAAAGAGGATACATGTACTTGACTGGCCTGCTGCAGTCCCGAGATTGCGTGTCGCATTTTGAAGTGCAAAATGCGACAATGAAGACCCCGTACTGTTGCCCAAATGCCAAATGCAAATTTGTACAAAATGACACCTGAAGCACTTCATCACTTGCGTTCTTCAGTCCCTAAACCTCTTTCAAGTGTTGTAAAAAGGAATAGCAACATTACAAAGTGGTAAATGCTTTACTGCTCCAACATTTTTTGAAATGTGTTGCAAAAATCAGAATCAGAATAAGTGTTTATCTTGAGAAAAAATTCAATTAAATTTAGAAACCACTACTTCATTTTTTATTTGGATTTTCCCTACTGACTCAACCTTTTCTGATTTGGGGTTGTATTCAGTGTTGACACTGTTGTAATAAGAGGCTGGACAGAACAGAAATGAGCTAATAGTTTTAGTGGTTTGGTTTGGTCTATTTCAGCTCAGTTTACCAGTATAGAGGAAGCAGTATTGATTCACCACTTCGGCTGTTTCTGTTCCTTCCAAGGTATTGATGCAAATGTTGCCTAATTACATTAGTGCCGTCAAAATCTTGTTTTGTTTCCAGTTCATTAAACATATTATTTTCAAAATACCAAAATCTGAGCTATTTCAATTTGATATTCTTTGACCCTGAAACATGTTACAAGATAAAGATTACCAAAAGTACTTCTGTAATTCACAAGGTACGCTTGTGTGTCTTTAATGTTTCAGGAAGTCTTGAGGCTTTAACACAGTCTGTGTCTTCAAGTGTCTGTCATTATTCTGTCAGTATGGAGCTCAGTCAACTTCCTCTTGTGCTCTGTGAGTATTATTGTCTCTGGATGATTTTCAGTAGATGTTCATTGCTATCATATTATAAAAACAATTAAGTGCTGTAGTGTTTATGATTTTCTTTTTTTTTTCTAAAGCTGCTCATCAACTCTACTCCATGATTATATATTAGTGAAAGATGAGCCTGGGAGAGTAAATGTGTGCAGTTAGTGCTTATCAAGAAAAAGATGTGATTATAATATATCTTTGCCCTTTTTTATCGTTGCTGCTTGACAGACAAAACATAAAAGAAATAAATATTTCTGAACAGCAAGCGATGATTGAGATAAAATACACATTCTCTCATCAGTGTTTGAAATGAGTTTTTCTCTTTGTGCTTTTAGTGCTGATTTCAAACATCCACTCTGAACACACTGAAGGTGAGAGAATTTACTTAACATAATTCAAAACTTATCTGTGATTCTACATGAACTGTGAAAACTTGCATTGAAAAGGATTGTTATGATGCCAAATGTTGATTTTAGAAATTGTTAATGGTAAATGGTAAACTTATGCCTTAAATCTGATTGGCTGATATTGTACTGTATATACAGTAACTAATATTGTTTTGTAAGTCAATGAAAAAGTGCAGGCTAACACACTACGGCTTACGCTTATTTAGCTTGTGTGTTTAGCAATGACAACTGTTTAGACACTAAACAAAGCATATATGATTATAATAACTATATCACAGGTAGTGCTGTTCAAGCTGGTTCGAGCCTCGGCTGGGTCAGTTGGCATTTCTGTGTGGAGTTTGCATGTTCTCCTCGTGTTCACGTGGGTTTTCTCTGAGTGCTCCGGTTTCCCCCAGTCCAAATACATGTGCTATAGGTGCATTGGCTAAGCTAAATTGACTGTAGTATATGTGTAAAAATAAGTGTGTATAGATGTTTGCCAGTGATGGGAGGCAGCTGAAAGGGCATCTGCTGCGTAAAACATATGCTGGATGAGTGGGCGCTTCATTTCGCTGTGGCGATTCCTGATTTATAAAGGGACTAAGCCGACAAGAAAATGAATGAATGAATATTTATATCACATTAATTTAATTGTGAACTGTTGCTGTTACAGACTATCCTAAAGCCAGTGTGAGGATTACTCCTGATCTGCATGTGTTCAGAGGAGAGTCAGTCTCTATCAGATGTGACATTAATGCTGAAGGAGTCTCTAGCTGGCTGTACGGCTGGTATAAAGAAGGTTTAGATGGTGCATTCAGTGGTTTACAGGAATACACAATAAGGTCTGTTACTGAGTCTGACGCAGGTAAATACTCCTGTAACGGCACTGAGAGTAAAGGTTCACGCAGATCACAAATGAGTGATGCAGTTGCACTGACAGTATCAGGTGAGTTTGATCATCTCTTCATATGCACACAAGTTTATCATGTTATTAATGAGGGATTTCTCTATTTCAGACAGACCCCAGACAGCTTTAAGTGTTTCTCCACAGAACTGGTTGACTGAAGGAGATTCAGTGACTCTGATCTGTGAGGTTGACGGCTCTTCTACAGGCTGGACATTCAACTGGTACATGCTAATGCTTTCTGGTAGGTTATGATCTGCTTCTGTGGGGATAAAAATCCTGCATTTTTTCAAATAAATAGTTCACGATCTACAAATAAATCTAAAGAAATCATGGAGGAATTGCATGAAATTATAGATATTAATATAAAATTTGTCAACTGTTTTACGAATGGCTGCTGGTAGAGTTGTGGTTGGGGTTAAAAACCTATTTGTGGATACTTTTTTAATAAGTATATTCTATTACATTAATTTGTGAATATAATTGGTCACACTTTATTTTGATGGTCGGTTTGTTGAATATTAGTTAGATTGTTTCTACATGTCAACTATTGTCATTAGATTATCAGTAGGCTGTTAGGTTGCAGTTAGGGTTCGTGTTAGTGTAAGTTGACATGTATTTGCAAAGTTTCTTATAGTCAGTTAAATGTCTGTTGAAGGAGCAGTGTCAGCAGATATTAAACAGACAGTCTACTAATACTCAAATGGACCTTCAAAATAAAGTGTTAACATATATTTTTTTCTTGTGAAACTCCTGAATATTTTTCAGATGTCATTCCCTCATTTGTTAATTTATTACATTTTTGTTGATCTCTTTGGATTTATATGTGGATCGATCATAACCTGTTTATATGAAATAATGCAACAGTTCTTACAATTTTCATGTGATTGCATATAATTTAGCAGCCTTTTTAAATGGTTTTATCCAAGAACTAATATTGAGCTTGAGTACTGAACCAGTCTGACTAGACTAGACTAGTTCAGTGAAAATCATTTTTGTGCATAAAAAATTGTCGATGATCGTAAATATCTGCATTTTACACAGACAATCGTTATCATCATAAACCTCTCTCAGACAGCAGTAGAGGAGCTGGAGGAAAATACACTGTCAGTTCTGTTGCTCTAAAACACACAGGAGTTTATTTGTGTGAAATAGAGAGAGGAAAACCAACATATAAAACTTACAGCAACACACTGCCACTGTGGGTCACTGGTGAGTTTACAAATAACTGAAACTATTGGGTCATATTTCATGAAGAAAAGGAGGAAATTTCTCAATGATTCCTGTACCTGTGCTGTACAGCAAGTGTTTCTCCTCCAGTCTCTCTGGTCATCAGTCCCAGCAGAGCTCAACACTTTGAAGATGACTCTCTTTCTCTGAGCTGTGAAGACAAGAGTAACTCTACTGGATGGAGAGTCAGAAGATACACAGACAGCAGGCAGATGAGTGATTGTTCATCACAAACAAGATCTACATGTACAGTCAGCCTCACCACATCAGACACTGGAGTTTACTGGTGTCAGTCTGAATCTGGAGAGAACAATAATCCTGTTAATATCACTGTACAATGTAAGTCTGAGCGTCTGTAATTATTTATTTCTTTGTTCATGTAAAATCATTAGATAAAAAGATTGACTTGATGATTGTGACAGTTGTGAAATGAATTTGAAAGCAGAAAACAAAACAACCAAATAATATTAGACATGAAAAGTACTCTGAACACAATAAGTAGCTGTTAAAACACACAAAATGTGACATTCAGTGTCCCTATTTTAATATAAATATCAACATTTAATTTTCTCTTATCTTGTATAATGTCAGCACTCTGTTGATGTGTGTGTTGATGTTTGCTGTGTTTGTGTAGCTGGTGTGATTCTGGAGAGTCCTGTTCATCCTGTGACTGAAGGAGATACTCTGACTCTACACTGCTTATATAAATCTACAACTCCAGCAAAGCTCAGAGCTGATTTCTATAAGGATGGATCACTCGTACAGAATCAAACCTCAGAGATGATCATCACTGCTGTCTCAAAGTCACATGAGGGTTTCTACTACTGCAAACACACAGAAGGAGAGTCACCCAAGAGCTGGATCTCAGTCAGAGGTGAGAGTATCTGAAACTGTCAGCTCATTTATTTCTTCATTTGTCCTTGTTCAGATGTAGTGCATGATAAAGTGCTCGTGTGTTTCTGTTTCAGTGTCTGGTTCAGCATCTCAGATCTCTGTCTTCAACATACTCAGTTCTGGTCTGGCAGTTTGTCCATATCTGCTAGTGACAGTTGTGCTGATTGTCAAATGCTGTAGAATGAGAGGAAACACGACTGAATGATCTATTTTTAGTCACTGTAATCATTACTGAGGGCTGAGTTATTAAGTGATTCAGTACTGTAAAGAAACCCCAGTGAAAATATTAAGGGCATTGCTGTTCATTTATTTATTTTTTTAAATGTGATTACAGGTACCCAGTTACACACTGTAAACAAATCTAACCTTTCTGTATTAATCAATTAAATTCATGAGAAAAAAGAGAAGCAGAATAATTATTATATTTTGGTATTCAGATGTTTTGCAGAGTAATTCCATTAATTGCGAAGATTCATTGGGATTTTGTGTATGTTTTAGTCATAGAGGTCAGAAAAACAGTTTAAATATGACATTCATGATGTAACTAATTTGTGTACTCCAACTGCAAACATGCTTTACTGACCAACAGTGTAAACATTATTATAAGTAATGTTATGTATTAAACTAAATCTGGAAAAATAAAAACAAACAGAAAATGTGTACTGTAATTTGTTATTTGTAATTTGTTTGTATACGGGCAATCCAGAGTCATGGTCAATAAACATGCAGATGGTCAAAAGGCAGGCAGCAGACAAAGTAAAAAAATCAAAACAAAGCAAGGTTCAAGCACAGAAGGCAGGCCAGGAAACTACATTGTAATGTTCACAGCTCAGTATAACTCGACTCAGCAATGAAAGTGTCAAAGTGAGCCGTATATATATATATATATATATATATATATATATATATATATATATATATATATATATATATATATATATATATATATATATATATATATATATGTGTGTAATCAGTCCATGAGCAGCATCAGCTGTGGGAGTGTAATTCATGGAGACTTGGAGCAGGTGTGTGTGTGAGTGTGGTGCATGACTGGAACTTGTAGTCCAAATACCAGCAGATTTGTAGTCTGTAAGCCATCTGCACAGGCTGGATCACTGATGACCGTGACAGCTGGTTTGAATAAATATGAATGGCAAAAATTACTATCTAAATCAAGCACAACTTCATCCAGCGCTGCATGAAGCAAAAATTAAGCAATATCTAAATATCTAAAAAAAAAAAAAACACTTGTCAGGGTTTTGTCACTCTGGTCTTGTAAATTCTTGTTTTGGTGGCAGAGTCCAAACACTAGCTTTGTCTTGTCCTGTCCTGTTGTGCTCTGGTCGAGTTTTCTTGGGTCGAGTACTTGTTTTGTCATTGTGTGTCTCTGGGTGCGCGTTGTTCTTGATACGGGCGCGCGGGGTTTGCGTTGTGTTTGTGTTTCGTTCTGTCAGCTGTTTTTCTTTCTCAGCTTCTCCGTCTAGTTGGTTTCGGTTTTGGTTGGCACTGATATTAAACATGAGCGTTGCATAGTGTGAGTGCACGGTAAGGTGTCTTGTGTCTATTTGTGTTTGTGTTGTCCAAGCACGTGGTTCTGTGTTTACATTGGGGCCGCGTGCTTCAGTCTTGTCCTGTTATTAGCTGCATTTCCACTGTCGGGCCAGTGTGAGCCAGGGCTTTTATCGGGCTGGGCCAATCGCCCAGGAGGTTGAGCAGTGACACCGAAATCATGTCCCGTTTCCACTGTCAGGCTAGTAGCTCGCAGTGCGTCAAGCAAACCCCGCCCCCAGAACGTCTACCGAATCAAACGTCACACAACCTGCCCACTTCAGCGGGAATCAGGCAGATAAAGCACACCACATCATCATGAAACCATTAAAATGAAGACAACCGAAATAAACAAATGACATGTTACAGTACAGCATTACATTATATGTCTAAACGCACAGGCCTGTGTATTTCCATTCATCATATTTGTTTACTCACCGACGACTGTTGGCATCGAACATTGAGTGGTCTCGCCAGCGCAGGGAGCACACCATCTATAATTTCAAACCACAGAAATTCTGTGTTAAAAACTCGGTAGAAAATGTATTTTATAACATCCTCATTTTGATAGACTTAGTCAAACAGTCAGCCCAAAGTATTCAGCCTAAGTATTTCAGCACATAAGGGCAAGTAATAAAATATAGCCTGTATTTCGTTGCGTTAAGCAGCTATCCACTAATGAAGCTCTTCATGTATTTAAAATTTCATTTTTTAATTTTACCACGTCATATAAACACATAAACACTTGTTTTGGGACGCAGACCAAATTTTGTATTTGCAGTTTTCCCCGATGCGTTTATAAAGAGGCGCTGCACCGGACTGGATGACAGAAAAAATTATGCCTAGTTTCTGCTTTAACTCACCCAAAAAAATGCTCTTTTTGCACGATTTGATTAATATCACTGCATCCAAATACTTTATAAATAATATTTTAAACCTCCTCCGGTGTTTATTGTTTTTAGAAGATATCTAAAATCTTTTTTTTTCAGAGAAGCTTTTATAAAAGGAAATTTTAATATGGCTTTAAAACAGTTTGATTTATGTATACCTACAATATTATAGTTAGGTTTTGTTTGTTTTATATTGGTTTATTTATTTAATGTCATATTATAATATCTGATATTTGTAATTCTTTAAATTATTTTAATATAGCTTAGGCTATTTTAGCAAGATATGGCACTATTGTAATGACACATGAAGCACTTCATCACTTGCAGTCTTCAGTCCCTAAACCTCTTTTAAGTGTTGTGAAAAGGAATAGCAACATTACAAAGTGGTAAATGCTTTACTGCTCCAACATTTTTTGAAATTTGTTGCAAAAATCAGAATCAGAATAAGTGTTTACCTTGAGAAAAAACAAACAATAAAAATAACGAGAAACACATTAAACAATGTTTGTTTTGTCTGCAATGAAATTCAAGTCAAAGTAAATTTAGAAACCACTACTTCATTTTTATTTGCATTTTCCCTACTGACTCAACCTTTTCTGATTTGGGGTTGTATTTAGTGTTGACACTGTTGTAATAAGAGGCTGGACAGAACAGAAATGAGCTAATAGTTTTAGTGGTTTGGTTTGGTCTATTTCAGCTCAGTTTACCAGTATAGAGGAAGCAGTATTGATTCACCACTTCAGCTATTTCTGTTCCTTCCAAGTTATTGTTGAAAATGTTGCCTAATTACATTAGTGCCGTCAAAATCTTGTTTTATTTTTCCAGTTCATTAAACATATTATTTTCAAAATACCAAAATCTGAGCAATTTCAATTTGATATTCTTTGACCCTGAAACATGTTACAAGATAAAGATTACCAAAAGATCTTCTGTAATTCACAAGGTACATTTGTGTGTCTTTAATGTTTCAGGAAGTCTTGAGGCTTTAACACAGTCTGTGTCTTCAAGTGTCTGTCATTATTCAGTCAGTATGAAACTCAGTCAACTTCCTCTTGTGCTCTGTGAGTATTATTTTCTCTGGATGATTTTCAGTAGATGTTTCATTGCTATCATAATATAAAACACCATCAAGTGCTGTAGTGTTTATGCTTTTCTTTTTTTTTCTAAAGCTGCTCTCAGACTATTAGTCCAATATTAATATTAAGTCCAACTCTTGTGCATGATTATATATTAGTGAAAGATGAGCCGGAAAGTCAATGTGTGCAGTTAGTGCTGTTCAAGAAGGAAATATAAAGTGAATATATTGTTTCTATTTTTTGTCAATGCTGCTAAACAGACAAAACATAAAAGAAAGAAATATTTTGGCAGATATTCTGGTGTTTGAACAGCGGGAGATGATTGGACTATTGTGTAAAATACACATTTTCTCATCAAATGAGTTTTTCTCTTTGTGCTTTTAGTGCTGATTTCAAACATCCACTCTGAACATGTTGAAGGTGAGAGAATTTACTTCATATCATTCATAACATATTTGTGATTCTACAATGAACTGTGAAAACTAGTATTGAACAGGAGTGTTATGATGCTTCATGTTGATTTTAGAAATTGTTAATGGTAAACGGAAAACTTAACCCTTAAATCTGATTGGCGGATGCTGATACTGTACGCTTAATTTTGTAAGTCAATGAAAAAGTTATGACTGCAGGCTAAAACACAGGCTTAAGCTTATTTAACTTGTGTGTTTAGCAGTGACAACTATATAGACACTAAACAAATCACATCTGATTATAATAATTATAACACTATTTAATTGTGAACTGTTGCTGTTATACAGACTATCCTAAAGCCAGTGTGAGGATTACTCCTGATCTGCATGTGTTCAGAGGAGAGTCAGTCACTCTCAGATGTGACATTAATGCTGAAGGAGTCTCTAGCTGGCTGTACAGCTGGTATAAAGAAGGTTCAGAAGGTGCATTCAGTGGTTTACAGGAATATATATTCAATGTTACTGAGTCTTATGCAGGTAAATACTCCTGTTCTGGCACTGAGAGTAAAGGTTCACGCAGATCACAAATGAGTGATGCAGTTGCACTGACAGTATCAGGTGAGTTTGATCATCTCTTCATATGCACACAAGTTTATCATGTTATTAATGAGGGATTTCTCTATTTCAGACAGAGCCCAGACAGCTTTAAGTGTTTCTCCACAGAACTGGTTGACTGAAGGAGATTCAGTGACTCTGACTTGTGAGGTTAACGGCTCCTCTACAGGCTGGACATTCAACTGGTACATGCTAATGCTTTCTGGTAGGTTATGATCTGCTTCTGTGGGGATAGAATTCCTGCATTTTTTTCAAATAAATATTTCACGATCTACAAATAAATCTAAAGAAATCATGGAGGAATTGCATGAAATGATAGATATTAATATAAAATTTGACAACTGTTTTATGAATGGCTGCTGGTAGAGTCGTGGTTGGGGTTAAAAACCTATTTGTGGATACTTTTTTAATAAGTATATTCTATTACATTAATTTGTGAATATAATTGGTCACACTTTATTTTGATGGTCGGTTTGTTGAATATTAGTTAGATTGTATCTACATGTCAACTATTGTCATTAGATTATAAGTAGGCTGTTAGGTTGCAGTTAGGGTTAGTGTTAGTGTAAGTTGACATGTACTTGCAAAGTTTCTTATAGTTAGTTAAATGTCTGTTGAAGGAGCAGTGTCAGCAGATATTAAACAGACAGTCTACTAATACTCAAATGGACCTTCAAAATAAAGTGTTACCATATAATTTTTTCTTGTGAAACTCCTAAATATTTTTCAGATGTCATTCTCTTATTTGTTAATTTGTTACATTTTTGTTGATCTCTTTGGATTTATATGTGGATCGATTATAACCTGTTTATATGAAATGATGCAACAGTTCTTACAATTTTCATGTGATTGCATATAATTTAGCAGCCTTTTTAGAATGGTTTTATACAAGAACTAATATTGAGCTTGAGTACTGAACCAGTCTGACTAGAATAGTTCAGTGAAAATCATTTTTGTGTAAAAAAAAAATTGTTGATAATCGTAAATATCTGCATTTTACACAGACAATAGTTATCATCATAAACTTCTCTCAGACAGCAGTAGAGGAGCTGGAGGAAAATACACTGTCAGTTCTGTTGCTCTAAAACAAACAGGAGTTTATTTGTGTGAAATAGAGAGAGGAAAACCAGCCTATACAACTTTCAGCAACACACTGCCACTGTGGGTCACTGGTGAGTTTACAAATAACTGAAACTATTGGGTCATATTTCATGAAGAAAAGGAGGAAATTTCTCAATGATTGCTGTACCTGTGCTGTACAGCAAGTGTTTCTCCTCCGGTCTCTCTGGTCATCAGTCCCAGCAGAGCTCAACACTTCACATCTGACTCTCTTTCTCTGAGCTGTGAAGACAAGAGTAACTCTGCTGGATGGAGAGTCAGAAGATACACAGAGAGCTGGTGGATGAGCAATTGTTCATCACAAACAGGATCAACATGTACAGTCAGCCTCACCACATCAGACACTGGAGTTTACTGGTGTCAGTCTGAATCTGGAGAGAAATATAATCCTGTTAATATCACTGTACAATGTAAGTCTGAGCGTCTGTATTTATTTATTTATTTGTTCATGTAAAATCATTAGATAAAACAGATTGACTTGATGATTGTGACAGTTGTGAAATGAATTTGAAAGCAGAAAACAAAACAACCAAATAATATCAGACATGAAAAGTACTCTGAACACAATAAGTAGCTGTTAAAACACACAGAATGTGATGCTCAGTGTCCCTATTTTAATATAAATATCAACATTTAATTTTCTCTCGTCTTTTATAATGTCAGCACCAAGTTGATGCGTGTGTTGACGTTTGCTGTGTTTGTGTAGCTGGTGTGATTCTGGAGAGTCCTGTTCATCCTGTGACTGAAGGAGATCCTCTGACTCTACACTGCTTATATAAATCTACAACTCGAGCAAAGCTCAGAGCTGATTTCTATAAAGATGGATCACTCGTCCAGAATCAAACCTCAGAGATGATCATCACTGCTGTCTCAAAGTCACATGAGGGTTTCTACTACTGCAAACACCCAGAAGGAGAGTCACAAAAGAGCTGGATCTCAGTCAGAGGTGAGACTGTAGACCTAAAAACAGCTGAAATGTTCTTGTATCATTGACAGCATGACTCTAAATGTAAATATATTAAGTAAGTAACTCAGTTTTTCCATCAGCCTCAAGATCTGATGGTGTTGATCCTGTGATTATTGGAGTGATTGCAGGACTGGCTGTCATTGTTTTAATCTTCATCTTCTTGGTTCTGCTGTGCTGCTACAGAAACAAAAAAGGTTCATCTGCCATATTACAATTCAATGAAACTTTGTGTCTGCTGTTCTACATAAACCCAAGCTGATTCTGATAATAGCTCACATACATTGAAGAAAATGCTAATACCTTTTGTCTCGTTATAGTCAAAATATTTAATAAAATTTTAATCAAGAAGCATTTTCTAGACAAGCAAAACATTGTCTTGTTTTGAGAAGTTAGATGTGAATACTAAGCATGATTTTTCTTTAAACTAAGCAAAATAATCAGCCAATAAGGTAAGCAAAATAATCTTATCCAAAAGGACAAACAAGGTTATTTTGCTTACCCCATCGGCAGATTATTTTTCTTGTTTTAAAGGAAATCAGATCAAATGTTAATTTGAATAGTTGAACAATTATGGCTTTTTTAATGCCAAAAAATGCTAAAAAGCTGAATTTAGTCAACATTAAAGGTTATTTTTAAAAGGATTTTTACAATACCAAAGAAGATTCCTGTAACAAGGAGACTGACACGGAGGGATCCATTATGCAGTATTTATTGATCAAGCTCTCACTCAAAACACACAATATGCACCAAAGTGCAAACACACATCAACAATAGTCTTAAAGGTTTCAAGACTGGCGGTAAACAGACACAGAGGGATTTACCAGGCATGGGTCAAAGGCAGGCTGCGTGTATCAGAGTCTGTGTATCATGCTTGGGTCTTGGGCAGGCAGAAGGCGAAGCAGAGTAAGTAACAGGCTGGAGTTGTACACGAGAGATCAGGCAGGAAATAACGCTCAGTAATGCTGGCCAGGGCTAAATAAGACTTCGCACTGACTGAGTGTTTGTGTGCGGCTTATAAAGGGTACGTGGGTCATTAACTAGATTCAGGACAGGTGTGTGCACAACCAGCGTAAGTGGATGATGTAATGCTAGAAGTCCGGAGATGGCGGCCTCTGCTGGCCAGTGAGGGGAGTGACTGGGACCGAGTCGGTGACAATTCCAGACTAGTCCAAATAGTTGTACAGTGGTCGCTTGTTATTTGCGGGAGTTACTGTACGTTCTAAAAGTAGCCCATGATAGGTGAAATCTGTAAAGTAGTCAGTTATTGTTTTTTTTTACAATTATCACAGATGCTTTAAGGCTGTAAAACCCCTCACTACACTTTATACACTTTTCTTAGACCGGCATTAACATTTTCACACTTTTCAATCTTATTTAAACACTCTCAAAGTTAAAACTTTTGTAGAAAAAAAGTCCAGTCTAATATAGATTAAATACAAAGATCAAAAGCAAACATTCATCGCTGTCAGCAAAAGGTTCGTAAAGCTTTTGTGCAGATGATGTTGGCATCCAGAGTAATGTTTGTTTCCCTGCACTCACTGATCCACAAAGGGAAAGCAGACTATCTTTAAGAGGGTCGCACAGAGGATGTGCCGGGCACATGAGAGTTGAAAGTAACGCACACCGGACGCGCACATTCGCATATTATTTCAAATGAAATTATTCAGATGGCGTGGCAAAAATATGAGCAGTGTCCTGAGTCATAGCCGGGCACCACATACTTTTTGCATGGGTGTGCGCACCCTGATATAAACCTACAATTCTAAAATGCAGGGTGCTGCGTGGCACAATCCGTGTGTTAACCCCTTTATGATGGTCTTAGACAGTTACAATCCTTATTGCATCCTTGTTGAAACTCACGCTGCTAGTGATCAGTGCTTTTTGTTAATTTGGCAAGCGGAACGCATTCTGTAGTGTACAGAGTCACAGAGATTGATTGACAATGTTCTACAGACAATCAGGATGCAGAACACAATGTGTATATAAAAAAATAATAAAAATTAGCATGTCACTAAAAAAACTGTAAGGCTGCGAAAGGTGAACAGCATTATAGCTAGGAACCACTGTATTTTTGGCAAATATTGCCAGATCATAACAAATCCACATTTCAATATAAATATACCAAACAGATGGTTATGAGTGATCACTGGTCCTTGTGGATATTTAGAATGTTCAGAATTTAGAATGTCAATTCCAGAAATTCAAACCAAACATTCTAATCAACATCTGCTCTTAATTGCCATATAAACTAAATGGAAAACAGTTCTTAAGCTCACTTCATGTTATTAATGTACCACTGAAACAGATAAAAGGTTTTGGGTAGTTTGTTTTATTTATTTAAACAAGCTTCTTAGTGTTCTTTATTAAGTGTTTAAAGCCGTGTTAAGTTATTACAATTAGTATGAAATAGTGTGCAAGTAGAGGACTCCAAATTAGCCAAAATCTCTGTTCTTCAGAATATTTAGCTGATCATGTCCTGTTGGTCTAGGTGTAAGATCTCCGTCTCCCTCTAGAGTCAGTCAGACGTCACAGCAGAAGCAGAATGAAGCGGGACACCAGACACTGCTCTCTGGTCAGTCATGAAGTCTTTATATTTTTTAACATGTGTTAACATTTAAATTGTATTTTCTGTGTGACTGAATTATGTTTGACTATGAAATAATTCATGAAAAAGCGTTGAAAATAATTAATGAATGAATCATTTACAGGAACTACTCTTAAAGACAATTATTTCTGCAGAGCAGAGAGATATTATTGGTTTAATTTTAAGATTCATTACAAAATAATAAACATTGGTAATCAATTCATGTATTAATCTTTTATAGAAACTGCACATACAGATACAACACATGAAGACATATGCAAAACAGGTAACTCATGTAGTCAGTTTATTGAATCAACTTTAAAAATTTCAAGTTAAATTTGAAGTTAAGTGTTTTATTTTTCTCTGCTGTTGAATGTAGACAGTGAAAGTGGAGCTGAACTCACCTATGCTGAGGTTGAGCTCAAATCTACAAAGAAAATGAAGGGAAACACAGATAAAGGTAAACTTAAACATAAATCTCTGCTCTCATGTTTTCATGATCATACATTTATTCATATTCATGTGTTTTATGTGCTTTTAGTCATACAGCATAAGCACCAGTGATGATAAATGTTGTAATATTTTAGGGAACAACACTGAAAATTCTGGCTGTGTTTACTCTAAACTGAAGCTGAAAACACATCAGAGTGAGTGTCAGACTAAAAAAAGTTCATGAACATTCTAAGAATAGCTTAAAATACTGAATGAAAGTGTATAATTGAACTCGTCTGTTTTCAGGTGCTGGATCTAGTGATGGGACGTATGCTCAGGTTAAATAAATATCAGTCCCAGGAGGCCGATGAGTTTAGCTTGAAGACTGGTAGAGAATCCCCAGGGTCATCAGTGGTTTATTATTAGTTTTTACTTCTCACAGCGCTTGAGGGAGTTAGCAAAAGTAAAGTTATATTATTTAAACATTAGACATTTTGCAGTTGCTATATAATCGAACAGGATCATTACAGCACACCTAGATTTTTAATCTTTGATGCATTGAACTGTATGCTTTTATTACTGTATACTGTAAACTTTTGCACTTTTATTGTGTCATTTGTGAATGCACCTTTCCTACAGTTATTTTGTGTCATTCTATTAACATTTATAAACCTCTCACACAACTAAAATCTGACCTATTATAGGCTTTGTTACCTGCTGTTGAGGCTGATGATAGCAGAACTTCACTGAATTAACATTGAATCAACGGTTAAAAGGTTAAAATAAATATTCATCAGCTTTGCTCTCTCAAATAATGTTTTATCAATGATAGAAACAGATTGAAGAACACAGACACAATGATGAAATTAATGAGATAATTAAGTGATTAACTGAGGGTGCTTTCACACCTACACTTTTGTTTCGGAACCTGTCTCATTTGCCCAGTTAGCGCGGTTCATTTGGCATATGTGAATCAAGCAATCGTGCTCGGATCCACGCCAAATCAATCGCTTCGAGATCGCTTGAATGAGGTGGTCTCGGCTCGATTGAAACACACTCGTGGATCGATTGTAGTGAGAAGGCGATACGATCCGAGCCTGGTTATATCACAGTGTTTTATGGATGTGTAATAGGCATACGGCATATGAAGAGAGAATTCTGAGTAGAGCGGGAGGTCATTTCAGACATCCCAAGTCTCCTGGAAGTTTCAGGAGTCTCCCGGAAATGCATAGGTAACACTTTACAATAACAGTACATGAATAATGATGTATTAATATGTAATTTAAACATTAGTTTATTATGAATAAATGATGAGTAAGGGTATGCACTAATCAACTACAACATGAGTCACATGAGTTCATGTGTAAATAACGACTACCTTAATTACTTGTTAGTACATGTTGTTAATTAATGTATTAATTAACATTTAAGTTGAAGCTAAATGTAACCAACATGAACTCATGAGCTGTTAATGTATAGTTATGGCACGACTTTACTTGGAGGGGCACATCACTATTAACTCATCCTTAACTACTCATGAACTCCTGTTCATGTTGATGTTGACAGAACGCTTTTCTATTGTTATTCAGTGTAAACTCACAAGTTGGACGTGCATAAGGAGTTCATGAGTAGTTAAGAATGGGTTAATGATGATGTGCCCCTCCAAGTAAAGTCACAGCATAGTTATACATTAACATATCATGAGTTCATCATGGTTAAATTAAGCATAAACTAATGTGGTAATTAATACCTTAATTAACAAACAATCATGTACTAACAAGTAATTAAGGTAGCCATTATTCACACATGAACTCATGTGACTCATGTTGTAGGTAAAGTTAATTCATGATCAGTGCATACCTTAACTCATCATTAATTCATAATAAACTAATGTTTACTTAACATATTAATACTTCATTATTCATGTACTGTTATTGTAAAGTGTTACCAATGCATAGAGACTCTCAGATGCCCACAAACGAGTAATAATCTCCCGGAAATCGTGCTTCTTCTTCTGGTCCTCCAATACATCGTGCACCCTTCTCACCCCTCCCCACCGAATCCCTCTTCGCTCTTCAGACACATTGCTTGCACATTGTCAACCACCAAACCATGATGATTAGACATAAAAAAAAAAAGTGATTAGACCATGTTTAAATTCCTGTCTAGAGAGGTCATGTTTCAATCTTCAATTGGTCTCACGCAATCATGTGATGCGATTTCGCAGGTCAGAGTTCACCAAGCTTGAACTTTCCAACGCAGCGAATGGCGTAACTTGTCACACTAGCTTGGGTTTTCGGTCTGACGCATTTGCGTGCGTATGAATGGAAGTCTATTGAGAGAAAAGTGCAGTATTTATTGAGAATTGTTAATAAAACAAGTGCAGTTAGTGAGGGCTCTTGTGGGCTAGGTGAGGGCCAGCACCAATAGGCCAATGTTTTGTTAGTGATCAAACTCTCAATGGCCCTGCACTGGCAGCCCCCTGGCCCCCTTATGCTGGCTCTAAGTGGACCCTTTAAGGACCAGCACAGGCTTGTTTCTAGGGAATTATGCTAAATATTGTAGTTTGGATGCTTTTGCTTTGACTTATTGAGTTTACAAAAGTTTTTTAAAAAGATACTATGAATATTCTATTCATAAACAAATATTGGCTGAAAAATATTTTTTAATGAGGTGTTTCGGTTTGACAAAGGGCTGCAAAAAATTGAAGATTTATATGAAGAAAACGATCTAATGTCTTTTGCAGAAATTGTAACACAATTTGATATTCCCAAAAAACATTTCTTTAAATTCCTTCAGTTAAGGAGCTATATTTCCTCTCATCAAGGTGCAAAGCTTACAAAACCTAACAAAACACCTCTTAAAGACCTGTTATCAAAACCTGCTAAATCAAAAGGTTTAGTATCTATGTTCTATAAGATGTTAGAATCATGCTCGACAGAATCATCAGAATTTAAATTGGCTTCCTTGAGAGAAGAATTAAATGTTTTTAAAAGAATTAAAATATTCCACTGGATGAATGGGAGGAAATATGTAATAAAAGATCAAACATTAACATTTAATAGTAATCTTAAATTAATACAGTACAACTGGATTAGGAGAACATATATCACTCCAGTCAGGTTAAATAAAATTAACCAAAGTATCCCAGACACATGCATTAAATGCTCAGTTGAAAAAGGTACACTTTTACACTGTATGTGGGATTGCCCAAAGGTACAGGAATTTTGGAAAGAGGTGGCTAGTTTCATTTTTGAAATGGTATCTGTAAAACTGCCTATGAAACCGGAAATGTTTATTTTGGGAATTATTTATGAAAATATTGATTGCCACAGCAGCACCCGTAAACTTATCGATATAAGTATACTCCAAGCAAAACGTCTAATAGCTTTGTACTGGAGAAAAATGGAAAGGCCATCTATTGTACAGTGGATCAATATATGTCCTTCTGTTTAGCTATGGAAAAGATTTCATACATGTTAAAAGGCAAACTTACTGTTTTTGAGAAAATGTGGGCACCCTTTATATATCTTATTTCAAATTCAAATTTCAGAAATTTATTAAATGAAACAGGAAAAGATGAAATAAACTGACATTGACTAAGCATATCTAAATATTTCCCCTACTGTATTTCCAAAGAATTATTTAAACAAACCATCTGATGATCTGGTTCATGCCTTCTATAGATTATTTGTATTTTCAACAACTTCTTCCAATTGTTGTATCTAGAATAATCTGTTACTAACTCAAACACCCTGTGCCCCCCAACCCTTTTTTTTTCTCATTTCCTTTTTATTCCTTTTTTATGCTTTTTTTGTTGTTGTATGCTTTTTATTATTTATTTTTTATTTTATTGTTTTATTTTTTCCTCTAAATTGAAAAAAAAAAGATGTAAAATATGATTGTGATGTTATATTGTCATATTTTTATTACATCTCAATAAAAAGATTGTTCAAAAAAATGAGGTGTTTCGAGGTACATTGACTAATTATTGACTGCAAAGAAGGCAAGATACTCTGAAAGAAATCAATATAAGTGTATTTACATAAAATGCAACAAACAACAATATTACAATAATCAAAAGCACAAGGATTTGAACTTGTACTGCCGAATCTATCGAGTGGTTGTGAGGGCAGACTTGTGGTTGTACAGCGAAACTGCAGTAAAGTGCTCGGGTATATTTGCCCTTCACATTTGTGTCTGTCAATTTGTACTTGTGAGTGACGTTTTACAAACAGACAACTATTCATCCGCAATTTTGATTTCAAAACAGATGTTTTAATTATTGTCCGTGTGTGCAAATCGAGAGATTAAGCTATTCATATCAGAGTGTAAATTTCAAAAAGAAAGTTCTCTTCTCACTTTTGATTTGTAAGCTCTTGAGGTTTGTCATCACAGAGACCTTCTTGCTGTGAGGCAAAAGTGCTAACCACTGAGCCACCATGCCGCCCTAAAAGATGTTACATTAAAATGTATCATCAATATGCAGTGACACAACAAATACAGTAAATTTCCACCTGGGGATACTCATCCCGAGGTCCTCAGATTATGCGGAATCACTGATTGGATCCAAGACCATTGACGAGATGATTCCAAGGTTTCCATATCCGGGACCAGGCCGTATCCTGGTCTGCTGCTGCGCTGTTGGTCATGGGGGAGTGGAGAGCATGAGACTGATTCCAGTGACGCTCCAGGGACAGACGAGTCTTTGCTGAGGCCAGCTTCCAGCCTCCACCACTGAGACTGCAGCTCTACACAAGAATTTTGGCCAGCGGAGAAATTAAAATGGTCGTGCCCAACTGAGTCTGGTTTCTCTTAAGGTTTTTTTTCTTCACTCTCCTATCAGGTGAAGCTTTTTTTCCCTCTCCGCTGTCGCCACTGGCTTGCATGGTTCAGGATCGGTAGAGCCACACATCGACGAATTTGCTCTACAGTGTTTGGACTCTCAGTAATGATTTAAACCACACTGAACTGAGCTAAACTGAACTGAACTTAAACACTAAAAACTGAACTACACTGTTCTAGTTTACGACCATTTATGTGAAGCTGCTTTGACACAATCTACATTGTAAAAGCGCTATACAAATAAAGCTGAATTGAAATTTAGTCAACAGCATTTAAATTAAATTAAAAATAATATAAGAAAATTGATAAGACTAAAGACATGCCAAAGAACAATTAAAGAGAGTTTGAAACAAATTGGACTGAATAACAATAAGTATAGAGTTTAACCAAACTAAATTAACGCCAAATTAATTTAAATTAGCAAAGAGCTGAATTAAACTCACGAGCACGTCACACCACTCCTCTATCAGCTTCATTGGCTTCCAGTAAAGTATCGAATTGATTTTAAAATATTACTTCTAACTTTCAAGGCACTTCATAGTCTCACTCCTCAATATCTCACTGAACTTCTCCATATCTACAACCCTTCTCGTACCCTTAGATCAGCCAACAACTTCACCCTGGTACCACCTCGCACTCGATTGAGCACAATGGGAGACAGATCTTTTAGCTCTATGGCTCCTCGGCTATGGAACTCACTTCCCCTAGATCTTAGGAGCAGTGATAGTCTTCACACTTTTAAATCACTTCTAAAGTCCCATCTTTTTAAGCAGGCTTTTACTCAACAAATTTTTAATCATGTTTTTATTATGTTCTTTTATATTCGCTATTGTGTTTTAACTTGTTTGGTCAATGATTGTTTTTAGTAATGTTTAATTTGTTTAGCATGTCTGCTGATGCTTATTGTAAGGCGACCTTGGGTGTCTAGAAAGGCGCCATTTACAAATAAAATGAATTATTATTATTATTATTATTATTAAACTGACAATTCATTTAAAGCTTTACAGTGCATCCATAAGAAAAAGAGGAAGCCGGTCAGCTTTGCAGACTGGTGCAAGAGGTGTCAATTAATCATTTTATTCACATGGTGACACAATTGATGTTTCTGAAATGCAGACACCCAAAATAAGCCACATCGTGACCTTCAAATAAACCAATAAAAATAAGCTTAATCTGATATAGTTATAATGCACACATGTATGCTTAGATTCATTTTAGTATGGTTGCTGTGTTTCAGAGAACAAACACCTCAAATAGGTGTTACTCTCAAAAGAGACATAAAGTCGGATATAAGGGTCTACACAGGATGGAAAGTTCTCACCGTTCACACCTCGTACTCTCAGTGAGCTGTTTGAGCACAAATGTCTGCCCAAAGGTCAACTAAATATTTCTGTTGATGCACAGTTAAGTTTTAAATAAAACATTGAATTTTCCTGAATGAAATAGAAGTGCATTAATAACAGAGATATTAGAATGTATAATGAGACATAATTAATAACACACTTAATGTAGCATCCAGTTGATATGAATATATACATTTCTGTACAAACATTGGATGTTGGTCAGTTTAACATAATCTGAAGGCATATAACAAGATTATAAAGGTTATTAATAGATCTTCTGTAACACATGAGGTACATTTGTGTGTCTTTAATGTGTTGTGATGTTTGTAAAGGTCAGACTGCAGGTTGCAGGAAGTCTTGAGTTTTCAAGTGTCTGTCATTATTGAGTCAGTATGGAGCTCAGTCAACTTCCTCTTGTGCTCTGTGAGTATTATTTTCTATGTATTTCAGTAGACGTTTATTGCTGTAATATTATAAACAAGATCCAGCAGTGTTTCTGTTTTTATTTTTCATGCTGCTCTGAGTTTACAAACCATCTCTAGTCCATGATATATGAGTGAAAGATCAGCCTGACATGTGCAGTTAGCTCTGTTTCTAAAAGAAAAGTGAATGTATCATTACAACATGTTTTGTCTACAAACTGCATTATTTTTTTTTAGCTGCTAACTCTCAAAAGTTTCTCTTTGTGTTTTAGTGCTGATTTCAAACATTCACTCTGAAAACACTGAAGGTGAGAGAATTTACTGCACATATTTCATGACATGTCTGATTCTACATGAACTGTGAAAACTATTGAAAAGGAGTGCTGTGATGCTTAATGTTGTGAAGTGCATTATTGTGACTGTTTTTGTTTATTTGATCTCAGTTTCAACTGTGATATAATTCTGTAAAACACTTTTTAAAATATTTTTATCCAGGCTGTTCATCCAAATGATTGTGTGAGACACTTAATAATTTAGCTTCAGGTTAAAATACTAATCAAATTTAGCTTGTGTGTTTTTCTATAAAACTGTTCAAACCTCTTGCACTAAAACATCATATGATTATATTTATTATATCACATCTTTTTTATTGTGAATTTTTGCCATTAAACAGAAAACCCTAAAGCCAGTGTGAGGATTACTCCTGATCTGCATGTGTTCAGAGGAGAGTCAGTCACTCTCAAATGTGACATTAATGCTGAAGGAGTCTCTAGCTGGCAGTACACCTGGTATAAAGAAGGTTCAGATGATGCATTTAGTGATTTACAGGAATACACAATAAGGCCTGTTACTCAGTCTGATGCAGGTAAATACTCCTGTTCTGGCACTGAGAGTAAAGGTTCACGCAGATCACAAATGAGTGATGCAGTTGCACTGACAGTATCAGGTGAGTTTGATCATCTCTTCATATGCACACAAGTTTATCATGTTATTAATGAGGGATTTCTCTATTTCAGACAGACCCCAGACAGCTTTAAGTGTTTCTCCACAGAACTGGTTGACTGAAGGAGATTCAGTGACTCTGACCTGTGAGGTTAACGGCTCCTCTACAGGCTGGACATTCAGCTGGTACATGCTAACTCAGTCAGGTAAGATATAATGTGATTCTGTGGGGGATTTAATTGTTGTATTGTTTGAAATAGATCATGATTCACAAATAAATCAAAAGTGATTCCCCCAAGCAATTAAGATCTTGAAAGAGATCTGCAAATATTTGCTGGAGTTTCACAAAACTCTATTATATTCACAAATAATGTTGGCAGTTTTGCTTGTGATGGAAACATATATTTGTGGACACTTTTTAAAATTTGCCTTTTGCAACTCCTGCCTGCATTTGTGAGTTTTCTGTCATTATTTGGGAATGTATTTAATTTTATAGATCTGTTTATATTTAATTTAAATAATGTAACGAATCTGCCCCTGCATTTTTTTCATCTGATAAACTAGTTTTTTTATATTATTGTTATATATGTATATATATATATATATATATATATATATATATATATATATATATATATATATATATATATATATATATATATATATATGAAGAATGAAAAAATGCAGGGGCAGATATATATATATAGTATTTACTTTTGATCAAAAATTATTTTATGTTGCAAAAATAGCTGATTATAGTGAACATCTGTATATTCTCACTTTAAACAGGCCAGGACAATACACCGCTCTCAGACAGCAGTAGAGGAGCTGGAGGAAAATACACTGTCAGTTCTGTTACTCCAAAACACACAGGAGTTTATTTGTGTGAAGCAGAGAGAGGAAAACCAGCCTATAAAACAGACATGAGCAACAAACAGCCACTGTGGGTCACTGGTGAGTTTACACAGAACTGAAATGATTGGATCATATTTCATGAAGAAAAAAGCCAAATATTTGTAAATCATTGCTGTACCTGTCTCAGGTGTTTCTCCTCCAGTGTCTCTGGTCATCAGTCCCAGCAGAGCTCAACACTTTACATCTGACTCTCTTTCTCTGAGCTGTGAAGACAAGAGTAACTCTACTGGATGGAGAGTCAGAAGATACACAGACAGTGGGAGGATAGAGGATTGTTCATCACAAACAGGATCTACATGTACAATCAGCTTCATTTACACATTCCATACTGGAGTTTACTGGTGTCAGTCTGAATCTGGCAAGAAATATAATCCTGTTAATATCACTGTACACTGTGAGTCTGATTTATTCATTTAAAACAGATTGAGTTGATGAGAGCAGGGAGCATTAGACAGTTGTGAATTGGTCAAGTGTAAAGAAAACACAACCACATAATACCACACAAACTACTTTAAAGGTAGTTGGTAGTAGTTAAAACACTTGTCTATAAAAGCCAACCACATTTTAATATACAGATCAATATTTAACTTGCTGTTGTATCTATAATGTCAGCACTCTGTTGATGTGTGTGTTGATGTTTGCTGTGTTTGTGTAGCTGGTGTGATTCTGGAGAGTCCTGTTCATCCTGTGACTGAAGGAGAAACTCTGACTCTACACTGCTTATATAAATATAAAACTCCAGAAAAGCTCAGAACTGATTTCTATAAAGATGGATCACTCATCCAGAGTCAAACCTCAGAGATGATCATCACTGCTGTCTCAAAGTCACATGAGGGTTTCTACCACTGTAAACACCCAGAAGGAGAGTCACCCAAGAGCTGGATCTCAGTCAGAGGTGAGAGTGTAGACCTAAAAACAGCTGAAATGTTCCTTGTATCATTGACAGCATGACTCTAAATGTGAATATATTCAGTAAGTAACTCAGTTTCTCCATCAGCCTCGAGATCTGATGGTGTCAGTTCTGTGATTAATGGAGTGACTGCAGGACTTTCTGTCATTGTTTTGGTCTTCATCTTCTTGGTTCTGCTGTGCTGCTACAGACACAAGAAAGGTTCATCATCTGCCATATTACAATTCAATGAAAGTTTTCACAAACCTCATAACTTGCCTCCTGATCAAATTAATACAGTATAATGGCTTGTGTAAACTTTTAATCTGAGCATTTCAGTCTCACATGCAGGATTGTTATTTCTGTGCCCCTGTGAGTGCTGGCCCACATGTGTTACCCTGAAACACAAAACCAGCAACAATATATAATAAACTGTATAAATCACAAGGTTAGATGTCTCTTTAATGCCAAAAATGATGATAATATTAGGTAAAGAGTCTTTTCCATGATGACATTTAGCTAAATTTCCTAAATATATCAAAGCTCAGTTCTTGATTAGAAATATGTTTTGCTAAACCTAAGTTGATTTTCTCAATATTTACATTTTTAGAAACACTAAACAAGACTCCTGATTATTAAATAGCTGTGTTTTAGTTGTTTAGCTTCCAGATACTGCATGTATAAATGTATAAACAGACTCTGATAAGTGGTCACTGGTTGCTTGTGGGATTTAGAATGTTCAGAATTTAGAATGTCACTTCCAGGATTTCAAATCAAACTTTAAAATCAACATCTGTTCTTAATTGCGATAGAAACTAAATAGAAAACATGGAGACGGTTGAGGTATTCTGAATTTATCAGTGAAATGGTTAAAAGGTTTTGAGTCGTTTTATTATATATAAATATTTGCTGATTAGGCTGGAAGTGGTATATTGTTAGCAAGCTTTTTAGTGTTATTTATTCAGTGTTTAAAACTGTGTTTAGTGATCACAATTATTATGAAACCATTAACTGTGTGAGTTGTTGTGTAAGCAGAGGACTCCAAATTATTTGTCATTGTATTTAGCTGATCATGTCCTGTTTGTCTAGGTGTAAGATCTCCGTCTCCCTCTAGTGTCAATCAGACATCACAGCAGAAGAAGAGTGAAGCGGGACACCAGACACTGCTCTCTGGTCAGTCAGGACGGCTTTATATTTTTAAACCAGTGTTAACATTAAAACTGTATTTTTCTGTGTGACTGAATTCTAAATTTGATTGTGAAATAATACATGAAAAAGCGCTGAAAATAAAGTAATTAATAAATCATTTACAGGAACTCCTCTTAAAGACATAAGCAGCACCGGTAACAGCTTTTTTATTTATTTAATTTTAAGATTCATTACAAAATAATAAATATTGGACATGAATTCATGTATTAATCTTTTATAGAAACTGCACATACAGATGCAAAGATTTTAAGTTAAAGTTGAGGTTAAAAGTGTTTTGTTTTTCTCTGCTCTTAACTGTAGACACTGAAAGTGGAGCTGAACTCACCTATGCTGAGGTTGAGCTCAAATCTACAAAGAAAATGAAGGAAAACACAGATAAAGGTAAACTTAAACATAAATCTCTGCTCTCATGTTTTCATGATCATACATTTATTCATATTCATATGTGTTTATGCACTTTTAGTCATACAGCATAAGCAGTAGTGATAATAAATGTATTATTTTAGGGAACAACACTGAGAATTCTGGCTGTGTTTACTCTAAACTGAAGCTGGAAACACATCAGAGTGAGTGTCAGACTCAAAACAGTCACAGTTCACTAGATAAAAAAAGTACATCATCATAATAATAATATGACTTGCTGAATAAAACAATGAAAGTGTATAATTGAACTCGTCTGTTTTCAGGTGCTGGATCTAGTGATGGGACGTACGCTCAGGTTAAATAAATCTCAGTGCCAGGAGGCCGATGAGTTTAGCTTGCAATATTATTGCTTTTTACTTAATGTATTATGATGGCTGTCTTGACATTGTCTCGCTGTGCTTGAGGAAATTATCAAAAGCATTCTTATATTAGATATTTTGCAGTTTATATAGAGTATGCTAATCGTTGTAGTTTTGATGCTTTTTCTTTGGATTAACTGGCTTACAAGGTTATTAGAATTGTACTTTGGGGGTTCAATATTTTTAACTAATTAGGTTTTGAGCTATTGACTACACTACCTAACAAAAGTCTTGTCGCCTATTCAAGTTTTAGGAACAACAAACAATAACTTGACTTCTAGTTGATCATTTGGTATCAGAAGTGGCTTATATGAAAGGCAAAGGCCTTTGGATTATGCTTAGATTACCAAAATAAAATATAATTATGTCTTGCTTTTTAATTATTTAATTAGGACTGTAAGATCTGACTTTGCTTAGACAAAATTCTTGTCACTGAACAGAAATAATGTGCAGTACAAGATATAAAGTCAAAAAGAATGAATACTGTGTCTAACTCTCATGAGCTTGGAGGACTGCATCCATACATCTCTGCAATGACTCAAATTTTTAGACATATTTTTTGTTATAAAAACACATTGATGCTTTTAAAAGATTTTGAAAACTACCCAATGTCATTACACAATATGGAACAGCCAGGATAAAGTTTAAAACTATTCCAACATGCATCTGAAAGAAGAGAGTCATTGAAAGTGGGTAAATTGTGTTGGACTTTTTTCTGTTAGTAGCTGAAAGCAGATTCACCCTGCTTTGGCTGAACTCTAGGTTTATTTGATCCTAAAGATCTGAGTGATCTGTTAGGTTTGTATTCAGTCTGTAATGTATTAAGGTCCTAGGCCATTTAGTGATTTATAAACAAGTAATAATACTTTAAAATCTATTCTGAATGGAAATTAGAGCCAATGTAACGCCCTGAGGACAGGTGTGATGTGCTCTGATTATTTTGGTTCTGGTCAGAATCCTGGCCGCAGCATTCTGAATGAGCTGCAACTGTCTGACTGTCTTGTTAGGAAGGCCAGTGAGGAGACCATTGCAGTAATCCACCCTAATGCTGATAAAAGCATGAACAAAAGTCTTCACTGGAAACAAAGCATCTAAATCTTGTGTAACCCACCGGTCTTACACCAACCAACCTGCTCCGAGCTGGGATCGAACAAGGGATTTACTGCATGGGGGTCGGTTGCTCTACCAAGGAGGCTAAAGACTATGGCCTCTAGCATCTGAGCACCTTTTAGAGGTCAGAGGAGCGAGGTTTACCTGCACACCACTTCACTAGCTGGCCTCTACACTTGCAATGTTTTTGAGATGATAGTATGCTATACTTAGTATGATTATATCTCAAATTTAGTTACAGTGTTATTTCAGTGTATAAATATATTCCCTATTGTGTTCAGTCCTTCGTCATACTAAGTGATGCATATATTCTGAGGATTTTCAGTGTTAAATACAAAAATCTTTTTTGTTCATTCTGCATAATGCATCTTAGTCCTGTTTATTTGCCAGTTATTTTTAGTCAGCAAAGAGTTAGTAAGTGCCAGTGAACTTTGATTCGCCAATAAATGACTCTAAAAGACTCCCAGTGCTTTATTTTTTAACCTTCTTTTCTTTAATTATGTAAACATTTTTGTTTGACCGGGTGATTGGTCTCCCTCTAGTGCTGGTCAGCCGAATAGCAGTCAGACATAAGAGGAAAACCAGAGTAAAGGGAAATTTCAAATGTTGACATTACAATCATGGTCAGTTTAATTATCTTATATTATACTAGTTATCTTAATAAATGTTAGTTTTGGTGGAAGACACGTGATAACTTTTAGCTAACAAAACTATCACTGCAAACTAGTTATTATTTCACTCTTCCAGCTATATTATAAAAAAGTATAAATATTTCAGATTCAGGATGTTAATAGTAGTTAAATGTTTGACCCATATTTTTATTTTCATAACAATCAAAATTTTCTGCACACATACTTCAAACAGTTTGTGATTTTTAGCAATTAAGTCAAGCATTATTTTTCACAAAAAAAAAAACTAAAAGGAATCATTTCCATACAATTTGCTTTATTTAGTTTAATTAATTTGACATAATCCCAAAATCCATGGAAAAGCATTAGCTGTACAGTAAATGCTGTTGCCTTATTTGCCTCAGCAAATTGATGCTTTCACACACACTACATCTATTTATATCCTTTTTTAATAACCAAAATTTTAAGCTTCATTCAAAATCTTAAAATTAAAAAAACAAAAAACAGCATCAGTGTTTATATAGTCAAATCCTTCCAGAATTTCTTTATACTGTAGCAGTGTGAATATAATTTACAAAACAAAGTTCCTAGCAAAAACTTTATACAGTTAACGGGGTAGTACACCCATTAGTTTACCATTTACTTCCTATAAAATGTTCTGCTAAACCCAAAAGAAGATATTCAGGAAAATTGTTGGAAGCCAGAAACTATTGACATCCACAGTAGGAAAAACTATTACAGTAAGGCGCCCAGTGCTTCCAACAATTTTCACTATATCTTTTTTAATGGTCAACACTGGCTCAGTGGTTAGCACTGTTGCCTCACAGCAAGAAGGTTGCTGGTTTGAGTCCTGGCTGGATCAATTGGCATTTCTGTGTGGAGTTTGCATGTTCTCTCCATGTTGGCGTGAGTTTCCTCTAGGTGCAGTTTCCCCCAGTTCAATGCGCTATAGGTGAATTGGATAAACTAAATTGGCTGTGTGTGTGTGTGTGTGTGTGTGTGTGTGTGTGTGTGTGTGTGTGTGTGTGTGTGTGTGTGTGTGTGTGTGTGTGTGTGTGTGTGTGTGTGTGTGTGTGTGTGTGTGTGTGTGTGTGTGTGTGTGTGTGTGTGTGTGAATGAGTGTATGGATGTTTCCCAATACTAGATTGCAGGTGGAAGGGCATCCGCTGTGTAAAACACATGCTGGATAAGTGGTTCATTCCGCTTTGGCTACCCCGAATGAATAAAGGGACTAGGCCTATCCCTGTTTCCTATGAGTGTTCAACTGACGATGAAATCTCAGACAGCTTTGTGATAAGTAAAAGTTGAGTAAATGATGACAAAATTTAATTTATTGAGTGAACTATCCCTTTAGCAAGTTTATTTTTTATGCTAGGTAGTTATCTTTGTAAATTTCAAAAGTTACTGCACTTCCTTCCCTTTGTGTAGTGTCTTTCCACATGAAAAAACAAAGTTTACTGGATGTCTTTTTGACATACCACATCGTTTTATTTTTAAATGTTTGTGGGCTGATAGAAATTGGAAATGACTCGCATTGTGTACTGTACAGCGTCTGGTACCAGCTAAATTATCTCAATTTCGTAAGAAATTTCTTCTTGCCTGGTCACTAATACAAGCACAACTTCTCTTCTCACAAATATTTTATTTGGAATAACAAAAAATATTGTATACAAACAAATCTCTTTTCTTTCAACGCTGGGTTAAAGCAAAAATTCTGCTTGTTTGTTGTCTTGTTAGTAATTATTTAATTCAAATGGCCATTTATTAAATTATAAAGAATTTCTTAATTGATTCAATATTCCCATCCCCCCTAAAGAATTTGCTGTTGTATTTAATGTCATACTCTTTTAGACCCTTTTACTAGGAAAATGTTGTTTCTCTGCAACTTCTTCAAACATATCAACACACTCTTTATTTATTACTTGTATCAGTTCCAAATGTTACTGATATTGGAATTATTTTGTTTCTGATATTGATTGGAGAAAAATATGGCTCATCCCAAAAAGCTACTTAATTACAAATAAGATTAAATAAGTTTCATCTAGAATTATTCATCGTACACCAGTGAATACTCTCTTAGTAAGATATAAAAAAGATATTGATAATAATTTTTCATTTTGTAAGCAACACCCTGAGTCCCTAGTTCACTTATTTTGGCAATGCAGTTGTTCTAATTTGCTTTGAAAAGATTTTGCTATTAGTGAGAATGTTGATAAAGACTTTTCTTTACGGGAATTAATTTTTTTTATTTATTATTATTTTTTTGGCAATTATAAAACAGAAGCTTTTCATAAAAAGAAAAGATGAAGAGTTCAGATGCAAAAACCTCTAAATGCCATCTAAAATGTTCTCCTAAAATGATCATTTTTGTCAGCCTCCTATAATTATGTTCAGTTATTTTACTTTAAAGGCAATGTAAATTACTTATTTGTCACTATAAAAGTAAAATTACTGAGCCTACACACTGTAGTCGGAGAAAATGCTAATTTTAGAAGAAAATATCAGACAGCTTTTAGAGGGTTTTGCATCTAAACTCTTCACATCTTCTTATCTTATTAACAACATTTTATGTACATAAATGTTCATTTTCAAACCAAAAACCTTTTTTAATGTTTTGCTAACTGAAATGCAGTATTACTTCTGTTTTATAATTGAAAAAAAAAAAAATCCATAGTAAAGAAAAGTCTTTATGAAAATCTCTAACTATTAAAAAAGGCTTTAAAACAACAGAAATTGTTAAAATATATAATCTATCATTTATAATTTCTTTATATATACCCTTTCTGTTTGTTTGTTTTTCTTGTTGTTTTCTTTTCCTAAAATGTTTTCTTTTGTCTTTCCATCTTCTTTATAATGTACTGTGATTGTATATTCCCTTTCACACAATAGTAAAAAAAAGCATAGGGTTCTAAAAAAAAGAATGTTGTTAACAATGCACGTCACAAAAAGAGTTGACGTTCCATAATTTTTAAAAAAGCGCGAAAAGATATGGTATTCAAATCAGTTGCTGAGCAATTATTGTTTATTACATCATGTTATTATCACCGCGGCATCATACAGTGAGAGAGAGGGAGAGATGCTGTAATCGCGCGGCTGACTGTTTTGACCCCGCAGCTCTGGGCGGAGATTAACAGGCTTTTTAAAACTATTCTTCGATCGGCTTGAGCTTTGACCAACACTGAGCGAGATGATCGAAACCAGCATCAAGTCCTTTTGTGTTTGCCCGATCTGTCGCGCCGGATAACATCAACAACAGCTTATATCTGCAGAAATGTGCTAATCTAAACCTCCCGAACTCGAGCAGGTGAGCTTTTTACTTTTGTTGTGAGGCGATATCTTTGTCTATCAGCAGCTTCAGCTGTCATTTCAGTCATTAGAGATGACACTTTTGTAGAGCTTGTGAAGTAAACTTTTAGACTGCACTTTTAGTAAAAATCATTAGCATGGGATGGATTCTGTTGTCAAACTATTGTTCTAAATCAAAAAAAGAAATAAAAAAATCTACTTTGCCTATTTATACTCTTGCTGCTAGATAGTCTTTATACAATGCAGCAAACTTCTATGGTCTAGTATATTACTTTGTGGCCATTTTATTTATAGTTATACATTTGTTCATCACATATTTATGTATTTAATAGATTATTATAATATGTGGTCGAGTATACAGTTCATTGGCTTGGAAACAGTCTGTCAACAGATCACACTGTATTGATCTGATGGGAGAAGAAAAAAATGTTGTGTATTTATGTAATGTGTTTCCATCTGCCTATAGTTTTGTTATGCCTGACTAAAACAAAAAAGCAGACGTACAATAATGTAACAAGTAAAATAATTTTTTTTACATCGGTTGACAGTGTTTAATGTCAGCACAAAAGCTAATTTAATTCGTTAAAGCACTGTTTGTGGAACAGGTGTTTTTTTTATTATGATTTGTTTTCTAGAACAATAGGATTTGAACTTTGTTGTCTGAATGTCTTATCTTTTATTGGCTCACTTGCTCATTAACTCTTTATTTGGGTATTTGCAGCATTGTTTTGGATTTATGTAGATGATGCAAATTACATTGAAGGGCTTGAAGGTCAAATGCTAATCGTTAGCTTTAATGCTATTATTGCCCTCTCTGTCCTGCAGTGACATGGGAGGGACGATAACCGTTTTCAAGGTATACCGCAGTTTGTAAAAGTCAAGGTTTTTAAAACCGCCAAAATTTCCTGCTATATCGTTCCTAAGGGATTTTTATTTGCATTTTGTTTTGTTATTTTTTAAGGAAAACAGTATCTCCAGTAGAAAATATCTCCTAAAATACAATTTTAAATAGTAAAGAAATCTGGGTTTTTTAAACAAATTAAGACCGCAGAAGTCAAAGATAAATTTTCATTATTCAGCCTGACATATTTACTGCTCCAAAATATTTTAAATGTTTCTCAAAACAAAAAAGTTTTAGTTTTTTACCCAGATGGTTAAAAAGAATATATTTTAGAGCAGTAATCACAATACCATCTAATAGTAATATTTTTATCCAAGGTTATCATACCGTCAGAATTATACCGGCCCATGCCTAGCGGTGACATGCTTAACTCAAATACATTCATTCATTTCCTTTTCAACTTAGTCCCTTTATTAATCTGGGGTCGCCACAGTGGAATGAACCACCAACTTATCCAGCATATGTTTTACACAGCGGATGCCCTTCCAGCTGCAGCCCATCACTGGGAAACATCCATACACACTTATTTACTATGAACAATTTAGCTTACCCAATTCACCCATACCGCATGTAGACTTGTGGGGGAAACCGGAGTACCCAGAGGAAACCCATGCCAACATGGGG